ATATTTATTTAATATGTATATATATATATATATATATATAGAGAGAGAGAGAGAGAGAGAGAGAGTTGTTTTTGCTGGAAAGTCAACAAGTTCTCTCTACAGTGGGTATAGAAAAGAATCAGCCTCCTTTAAAAGAATCACATTTTGTTGCTTTGCAGCCTGAAATGTAGACGGACACGGTTTTTGTTTTATCAGCTGTATTTACTCAGTGCAACTTATAACATCCAAGTGAATGATATAACACCAACATGACAGGAAAAAATAAAAATATAAAAAAACAGAATCACTGAGTTGGACAAAGGATCAGCCCCCTCCTAAAAATTACTTGTAAACTCAATCAGGTGTAGCTCATCACCTTCTCAATGGCACACAAAGCCATTTGACTTTCAACTGTGATCAGCTGTGCTCATTTTGATCAGCTCAGCATGAAAAGAGCTTTCCTGGAGCATTTCAGTCCTTGGTAGAGCAACTGAAGCAAACGATCAACTCTGGGTGGCAAGACACTGTCAAAAGATCCCCGGGATAAAGATGTGGACAGGCACAAGTCGGGAGATGGAGACAAAAACATTTCAAAGGATGTATCAATGCATAGAAGCACAGTGAAGTCTATTATTAAGAAGTGGAAGGTATTTGGTAAAACACAGAGCCTCCCTGGATCAGAACTGATGAAAGAGCCGGAGGAAACTGATCAGAGAGGAGACCGAGAGCTACAGCAACTCTGTAGCAGCTGCAGGAGTTTATGACAAAGTGTGCTCATTGTGTGCATGTGACAACAATATCACAGATTCTCCACAAATGTGGCTTGAATGGAAAAAATCCACTCCTTGAGAAAGGCCACATGCAGTCAGACTGAGTTTGCCAAAACACACCTTGAAGATTCTGAGGCAGATGAATTATTTGGCCTCAACAGCAAACAATACGTCTGGCAGAAATCCAATCCAGATAACAGCGTTCCTGCAGTAAAGCATGGAGTAAAGAATCGGTGATGTCCTGTTCTGGAGTGTTTCTCTGCAGCAGGGACTGGAGCACTTGTTAGGATAGAAGGAAAAACGGATTCTTGAGGGAAATCTGCTGCTCTGCCAGAAAGCTGTCAATGGGAAGAAGGTTTACTTTCCAACATGAGAATGACCCAAAGCACACAGCAGAACTGACACACACAGGCTGAAGGAGAAGAAGCTGAATGTCCTTGCATGGCCTCGTCAGAGCGCAGACTTAAACCCCACTGAACATCTGTGACTGCAGTCCACAAACACTCACCATCAGATTGAACTGAACTTGAGCAGTTCTGCAAAGAAGAGTGAGCAAATACTGCAACGTCTAGATGTGCAAAGTTAGTAGAGAAAAATCCAGACAGACTAAAACTGTAATTAAAGCAAAAGGTGCTTCAACAAAATACTGACACAAGGGCTGATCCTTCTTCCACGTTTTTTTTTTCTGGCATGTTGGTGTTTTATCTTTCACTTGGATGTTATAAATTGCACTGAGTACAGCTGGATAAAACTGTGTCTGTCTTCATTTCAGGCTGCAAAGCAACACAATGTGATTATTTTAACGGAGAGTGATTCTTTCACCACTGTATATATGAAACAATCATATTCTCGATTGTGATGTTGCTCAGCATCAACTAAACAAACTTAATCTGTATTATATCTAATAAGAAGTTCTTCTTCACTTACACTAGTTTCAGGGCATGTCCTGCTCTGTATTTTCACATTTCTCCACGTTACCTTCTCTTTATGTGCTTGCTTTTCTTGTTTTTTAAAATGATTGTATCTCCTACACACTCGCTCGTTTGTCTTCTTTTAAGACCCGGGCTTTGTTAGTTCAGTAAATTGAGCGAAAGGGAAACGCGTCCTCCATGTGCGCGTTAATCATCTCTGTGAATCGCAGGCATCTTTGTTTCTGGTTCTGTTGTTATTGAGCCCCTGGGAAACACCGCCTCTCACTCGGAGACGGATGGAGACGGTTTTAATGAAATCACGAGAGCCAGCTCTCAGCGGAAGCAGCGTGTCGTGGATCAGCGTCGCGTCTGACGCAGATGCTGGCTGTTTGTGGACGGTTTCACGGCGAACGCGTCCGATGAGACACGCTGCGCAGAAAGAGCATTTCTGCCAGATCTGCCCTCGCTCTGGCCCTTGATTAAAATCAAATGGCTTTTCTTTCAGACTTTTCTGTTTGTTTTCTCCTGGAGGATACCGGAGGGAATCGAGAGGAGGAGTTTATGGCTTTTTCCTCATAGATGTTGGGATCATATTTAACTATTTTTTCTCAAAGCACCAGAGTGTTCGAGAGCCCGGACCCAAAGGTCTTAGAAAGTTCATGCTCTAAAAATCTAAACATAAGAGGTTGTGTTATATTGTTATATCATATGGCCTCCAGTGCTTTTATGAAATGGTAGTACATAATTCTCAACTATTTATATATATTTTTTTTTTCCGAAAAAATATTCATTAAAAAGTTTTAACTATTTAACTTGAAAAGCGAAGTTTGTCAAGAAACTCAATGTTTTGAAAGCCTTGATAGAAATAAATGTAAAAAGTCTTTACGATTTAAAGCTTTAAGGTATGGATGGATGAAATAACGATAGATAGATAGATAGATAGATAGATAGATAGATATAGATAAAAGAACGATAGAATGATAGTTGTATAATTGACCCTTCGCCGGGAGTTTGATTGACAGGTGATCTGACCAATCATAACTCTGAATCTGCCGTTTTGTCTGACAAACAGATCAGACAGGAGAGTAGAGTAATGTCGTGGACTTGAACTTGAAAATGGTGTACTGAAGTGTTTCCGCGGTCGAAACAAGATTCCTTCTGAAGTTCATTCAAAGAGGAGGAGATGTGCGGTTCACGTGCCGCTACAGCGATCCGTCACACACATTAAAGAGCCACAACTGATGCGTTAAACGTCAAAAGAGCAGCTCGTTCTCAGTGAATGGGGTTTGGGCAGAAGCGCGGTGTGTTTCTGCGGTCAGCGATGGGCTGTATTGTGTGTGAGGCATTTGTGACTGTAATTTTGACGACATGATGTCTGTGCTGTTTGTCTAGTCAACTGTCTGTCAGAAACAGGCTGATTTTTGATGCCTGCTGGGTAGACAGAAGCGCAGCAGTCAAATGAACTGATAAAGGAGCAGAAAAGCAGAATAAATGAGGTGCTGTTGATGCTGCATGCTGGAGCAGGTTTACAAATGAAAGAACTCTGGCTTGATGTTCACCTGGAGGCCTGATCTTAATTTTATTCTGCTCAAGTTTCAGTCAGAATGGTTATGAATCAAACGCCATGAAGATGCAGTGAACAACAGATGAACACAAAACACGCTAGACATTAGCAAAATATACTCTAATAACTTTAAAATACTTAGTAGAGGTTTTTTTTATTAGATGCAAGAAAACAAATATCTTTTTGTCTGTTTGCTTGAGAGATATTGTGTGATGTTTTTGAAAGACTTGTCTTCTGCTCACCAAGGCTGCATTTATTTGATCAAAAATACAGTAAAAATAGTGAAATATTATTCTAATGTAAAACAGCTGTTTTCTATGTGAATCTCTGTTAAACTGTAATTTATTTCTGTGATGCGCAGCTGTATTTTCAGCATCATTACTCCAGTCTTCAGTGTCACATGATCTTCAGAAATCATTCTAATATGCTGATTTACTGCTCAAGAAACATTTCTGATTATCTTGGATGAACTGAGAGTGAGATTATTTTCATTTTTGGATGAACTATTCCTTTAAAAAAAGAGCAATCAAAACCAAACTAATAAGTTT